ACTCATGTATGAAAAGAGTTTTGACAGCTAAATGATGACACACCAAATACTGAGTTGGTCCATTATTTGACTTTATCTTTGACTGCTGTTGAGCAGCTTGGGCTGTGACTGAGACTCGTGCTCCCAAGGGGCTACATCATTTTTAAGTTAGCCTTTGACAATAGCAGGAAGTGTCCAACACCTGTGGAATGTGAAAGATGACTGGGTTCTCCTTGTTTTGCAACTCCAGCTTCGCTTCCCCTTTCTCACAGAATTGAGAGGTGGTTGGGGTGGAGTGGTCCCCTGAGCCCTGGGTCTGCATGGGGATCTTCCAGACTCCAGTCTGCCTGTTGTAGCCACCTCTGCCCATAGCTTGTCTAGCGTCTTCTGGACCTGGTGAAATCTCTTGGAGCTCAGGCTTCCTCCCAGCTGTGCACATTCACCACTGGCGCTTGGGCTGGCAGCATCAAGTTCACTGCTCACCTGCCAAGGTTCCTTTCTCTGAAGGACGGGTCTTCACCTGCTGGTCTCTGGCAGTCCCATGCATAAGTGTGATCTTTATGTTGTTTTTACATTTCTGTTCTTACCATGGAAATGCTTTCTATGTCTTTATGTCCTAAACTGGAAGTGACCTTCCAATATCCTTTCTTATTCTTTTTTAACCTATTTTGTCTTTCACTACCAGAGTGATCCTTCAATTAAAAGTGCAAGTAAAACCTGCTCAGGAGGCTGAGGCAAGAAAATTGCCATGAATTCAAGGCCAGTGAGACCTTGTCTCCAAAAAAAAAGTACAGCTGATCTCATAGGTGTTAGGTGTCACTGACCCCATACATCAGTAGCCACAGCCTCAGCCTCACTGCTGCTCTCCTGGCTCTCTCTTCCCTCTCTGCTACCCGAGCATGCTTTCCTTCATTTCCAGTGTCCTAACACACTCTTCCCTCAGGGTCAAACCTCTTAGACTGTTCTGATTCCGAGCATTCTGCTTACATGTTTCTTATTATTCATAGCATTTTGAGAACATTTGCTTCATGTGTTTCTCAGTTCTTATTTGAGTTCATTAGGAGTTGGATGGCATCAAATTAATTTTGTAATTTTCTAAGACAAATATAGTGTCTTGGCTCTATTGAACATTACACATTTGTTCTGTGGAAGAATGGAGCTGCACATGAAAGAGTATTGCAGACATCCAGTAACTGTGTATTGCCTGCTTGACCCTTGTCACTGTGCCCAGAGCTGGAATATCAAGATGAATGAGTACAGCCCCACTCTCCAGGGCTCTTCCTTATTGTTTCATACATCTGTGGAGTGCTGAAGTGGTTTTATAACACTCATACACAGTGTGACATTTCAGCCTTGTGATTGGTCCTCTATCCCGACCTCTCCCTAGGCCATATTCCTACGAAATGAGAATGGACTAGATGACCTCGAAAATTTGACACCGCCAATTATGTTTAGGTTTCTCAGCTCCATGGTAACTGGCACAAAGTTTTTCAGTCCTGCTGAAGCGGCACAGGACAAGTGTGGCACCTTACACTTGGGGCTGGTCAGCCGGCTCCTGCCCATGGTAGCAGTGGTAGCAGTGACACTGAAGACGAATTTAATTTCTGTTTTTCACTTCACTGATTTCATCATGTACCTTTGCTGTGCTTCAGAAGAACTCTATTTTCTTCACCTCTTAACCTTTATATCCAGCTCTTATATATAGTTATATATTAAATGTATAAATCATGGAAAATCTGTATTGTAGCTCACTGGTAGGGGATTTGTCTAAAATGTATGAAGCCCTGGGTTTGATTCTCAGTACCACAACAAACATGTATTTTTATCATATAAGTAATTTTACTTTATTCCTTTTAACTCTGAGAAGAAGGTGAGGTGATCATTTTTCTTCATTTTGCGAGGAATCTGAGTCTTCACAGACATCACTAGGGAGCAGTAAATTCAGACTCAGGTCCAGGTCTTGATCCCAAATCCTGTTTGATTATTGATCAAATACAGTTCTAAACTCCTGGGTTTGCCTCCTCTTAACACAGCTTATCTGGAGAATTGGCAAGGTGGGAAATACTGAGCCCCTAACTGGGAAATGGATGTGCACGAGGCATCTTGGTGGCATCCCCAAAGAAAGGGGTGATGAGGCGCTGCCCCTGAGGAGCCATATTTTTCATTTTCTGCTCATAATGCAAGGGAGGGAATTTCTGGAGTGTGGCTTGAGTCATCTGTGTGACCTGTGGTTAGTGTGGTGACTTCAACTGGGGCCATCTTTCCCCTCCCAGGAGCAGTACCTGGAAACACTGGGTCCTAACAAGGGGAAATTACTATTGCCCTCTGGTAGGTAGACACCTCAGATGCTGCAGAGCACAGGGAAGTCCCCCACAATGACATTATCTGGTGTCTGCTGTTGGCAGTGCTGAGGTCGACAAACCTAGAGTCCCACTTTGGGTATAAGATTGTTGGAGGCAGGAGGGAGCTGAAGTTTTGTCACCAAAACAAGTGGGGGAGATGCCAAGCAGGAAAAATAAAAGCACTACAAACTAGAGCTGTTAATTCAGTGACTGGGAGGATGAATTACATGTTTGAAAATGTTGGTGTACTTGAGGTTTCTCAGAAAAGGGAACATTTATAAAATATTTGAACTTCTAAACTTTTTTCTTGTTTTTGTCTTTTCCTTTTTTTTAGCTTCTTTTCAATTTTTTAAGAATATCTTTTTATTTCTTTTACTAGTATATGTTTACAATACATAACATTTTGTATTTTTTTGAACTTCTGAATTTAAACTTCAAATAGATTCTAGCTGGGTATGGTGGTGCATTGCCTGCAGTCTCAGCATTCTGATAGCATGAGGCAGGACAATTGAAAGTTTAACTCCAAGCCAGGGCAATTTAGCAAGACACTCCCTCAAAATAAGAGTTTAAAAAGTGGCTTGGGAAAAAAAAGTGGCTGGGAATGTTGCTTAATTCTAAGGCACTAAGTTCTATCCCTGGTGCCAAAAAAAGGAAAAAAGAAGAAAAAGAAGAAGGAAAAAAAAAAAAGATCCTAGGTCAATGATGGCGAACCTATGGCACATGTCCTGCAGTGAGCTGTTTGCTGTAATTAAAAGTTCTGAAAGTTTTACTATCAGTGTTCTAGGAGATTAATTTTAACAAATTTTCATCTAGAGTAGTATACATATGTATCTTAGGTACTTTTTTGGTACTGAGACAAAAATACCTCATACCTACAAGTTAAGGGAGTTTATTTAGACTCACAGTTTGTAAAGGTTTTAGTCCATAATGGGCTGGCTTCAAGGCAGAGGGAAGCGTGGCAGAGGGGCATGGCAGAAGAGAAAGAGTTTATGATTGAACATGGTGGCACATGCCTGCAATCGCAGAATTCAGGAGGATCTCTGGAAATTTGAGGCCAGGCTAGGCTACAATAGTAAACTCAAGGCCAGACTGAACTACTAGTGAGACCCTGTCTCAGGGGGGAGAGAGAGAGAGAGAGAGAGATAGAAAGGGCTCATGACAAGTCAGGCAGGAAGCGGCAGGCATCAAGAGAGGTCATGCTCCACAGCGACCCACCTCTTCACACCAGGTTTCTCCTCCCAAGTATAAACCAATCATAGGACTAATCCAGCGTCATATCCATGATCCAGTCACTTCTCAAAATCCCCACCTATAAACACATGAGGCTTTCGGGGGACAACTAGATAAAAGCCATAACTTTATGTATTAATAGTTAAATTTAATTCATAATTTAATTTTTGAAAGGAATTATGAACAAAAACTAGAGGTGAACACACTTGACTAAAGTGTGGTGTGGCAGTGCATGGCCATAATCCCAGCACACTCTAAGCCTGAGGCAGGAAGATTGTGAGTTCAAACCCAGTCAGAGCAAGCTAGTGACTTAGAAAGACTGTTTCTCAAAAATAAAGAAAGAGTTGAGGATGCAGTTCAATCCAAAGGTCCTGGGTTCAATCCCCCCAGTACTGCAAAAACAAACTAAAGCCAGACCTGGTGATGCAGACCTATAGTCCCAGCACCCTGGGAGTCCAAGGCAGTATGATTGCAAGTTTAAACTCTGTCTGGGCAGTTTAGTGATTTAGCAAAGTCCTGTTCAAAAGAAAAAGTTTTGGCTTTTTGTGAATGCTCTGGGTTTAGTCCCCAGTACCATTTTGTGAAAAAGTCAAATTAAACTAAACCAAAGCATTTTAAAGGGATCTCTAATTTAAAGTAGAATCAAACTTAATAAGTGGAGTATCTTACATCTGTGATCCGAGCATTCGGAAGGCTGAGGCAAAAGAATTGCCATGAGTTCAAGGCCAGGCTTGGCTATGTAGTCAGTTCAAGGCTGGCCTGAATTAAAGATTGAGTCTATTCTCAAAAAAAAAAAAAAAAAAAAAAGTATACCCAAACTTAATGCTGAGAATTGTTTAAGTTGAACACTCCTAGAACATAATTATATTCCTCAGCTGTGAAACAATTAGTCTTCCAACTGATTTAAGCAACATTCGGTTTATTACTTAGTTATAACAATAATTCACATTATGCCTATTTGTGGGATGATACTTAGTAAAGAACCCTTACACTTGTCAGTAACTTTGATGTTGCTGGTATATCCATCTGAAGATGCTGGATCTGTGTCCTGTGTGTTCATACCTTAGAGTTTCTCTAATACTTCACTGTGTCCTTTGTCTAGAGTGTTATTGGTATTTAATCTTATCAGGACAGCTGATTAAGCCCATAATTTTCCTGCTAGTCCCTTTAACTTTGTTCACTGTTTGAGGATAAGCTGTATGATGTGACTCATACTTGCCTATTTTGTTTTTATGTTTGTAACACCCTTTGTACCAGACCTGTTTCACTACCTTGAGAGAACCTAGAAATGTTTAGGTTTTTTTCTTTCCCTATCAGACATGGTGGCTTTGGGCCAGCTGTCACAGGGATCTGCCACCAGGTCTCCAGGTTACATGATTTGGATGAGCTTCTCACTATTAGCCCTCACCGAAAGCCTTGTGAGTTCCTTCATCCAGAGTGTTGTTTCAGGTGAACCACTGTCTACCAGAAAAGATAGTGGTGTACCGTGATGGAGTGTCTGATGGCCAACTGAAGACAGTTGCCAACTATGAAGTTCCTCAGCTACAGAAGTGTTTTGAATCTTTTGAGAATTACCAACCCAAGATGGTGGTGTTTGTAGTTCAGAAGAAAATCAGCACCAATCTGTACCTGGCTGCCGCTGAGCACTTTGTGACTCCCTTGCCTGGAACTGTAGTAGATCATACAATAACAAGTTGTGAGTGGTAAGTGGGCAAGAAAGATGGTATTAAAGAAGAATGGGTTGGAGATGTACCTGTTTCTTGTATTGGAATAGGGAAATTTGTTGGAGAAGTCCTTAGATTCTACTATTGAAGTCTTAAAATTTTATTTAAAAAAGATCAACAAAGCTTTTACCTATTAAGAATAAAATATTGAACATAACATCCTCTTCCTAAAGTAGTGTATACGTAACCTTCCACACAGATAAGGTAGTTTCAGTAACTTAGTGAGCTAGGTATTGTGTGTACATTTGTAATCCCAGCTCTTGGGAGACTGACATAGAAAGATTACTGTGAGTTTGAGGCCAGCCTGGACTCCATAGTGAGTGAGACTCTGTCTCAAACAAACAAACAAACAAACCTAAGCCTATCAAGTTTGGATTTCTAAGTGCTAATCCTGGTTTGGTCCCTGTGTTTCCTTGATCCAGTCATTTGCCTCTCTGAGCCCTAGATGAAGAATCTGAAAAGATTTCCAAGATACTTTATGGCTCTTTCTTGCTAAATTCAACCATACTAGTAATTGGTCCTTATTTCTAGGGTGGATTTCTACCTTCTTGCCCATCATGTGCGGCAGGGCTGTGGCATCCCTACACATTACATTTGTGTGTTCAACACTGCAAACCTGAGCCTTGAGCATATGCAAAGGTGAGTCAGTCAGCAGTTTGCTCTTTCTCACTCTTAATTCTGATCTAAGGTGGGGTCACTACCTATCCCAGATACATTTACCTCTGTACTTCCTTATGTTTTTTACCATAAGAGTATCTTTTTGAAAAGTAACAGATAATCGTGGTTTTCCATGAAAATTGCTTGAAGAGCTGGAAAACACACGGTGACTCCTATAATCCTAGCACTGAAAAAGCTAGGCAGAAAGATAATAATTCTAGCCTTTCCTGGACTACATTGAAAGATTTTATCTCAAAATAAAACAGTCGGGCATGTGGCACACAGCTGTAATCATCACACTCAGAGACTGAGGTAGAGTCTGAGCCCAACCTGGACTACATAGTAAGTGCAAGGCTGGCCTAGACTATATAGCAGGACCAGAAAAGGGGGGAAAATACTGCTATTAGTCTTACTACCTATCATTTTAAGCATTTAAATATATGTATATTTGTATGCGTGTAAGAGACAGGGTCTTGATATGTTGCCCAGGCTGATCTTGAACTCCTGGCTAAAGCAATCTACCTACCTCAGCCTCTTGAGTCACTAGGCTGAGTGGCATTCATATTTTTGAAATTTGCTCCACAGTGAGACTCTGTCACAAAACAACAAAACAAAACAAGAAAGGAAAGAATAAAAAGAAAAGAAAAGCCAGCTAGCCTGTAATTCCACTACTAGGGAGGCTGAGGAAGATCACCACAAATTTGAGGCCAGCCTGGGCTATATAATGAGTTCAAGGCCAGCCTGACCTACATGGCAGGCCTCTGTCAAATAAATAAATAAATTTTAAAAACAGCTGTAGGTGATTATAACATTGAGCCAGACTGGAGTTTTCTTGAGTTCAGGTTATATGAACATTCTAGTGAAGTACTTAACATTGTGCAGCCTTTTTTTTTCCTTTTGGCAGTACTGAAGAGTAAGCCCAGAGCCTTGATACTGAGCTACATCCCTAGCCCTTTTTTATTTTTTATTTTGAGACAGGGTCTTGCTAAATCACTAAAATTATCCAGACTTGAACTTATCCTCCTGCCTCTGCCTCCCAGAATACTGGGATTACAGGTATGTGCCACCATGCCTAGCTTCGGCAGCCTTTCTTGTAGACTAAAAAGGATTTTTCTTCATATTTTTTTTCTTATGTTAGTAGACTAGCAGAACAGTGTCTAAAATGAGAGGATTTACCCATGTGTTCTAACTTACTAATAGGGGGAATAGAATTCTATGTAAAAATAATAGTTCCCAGAAGATTCATCTTGAATTCTTGGGTTCCCCAGGGTGCTAGTGAGTGTGCTGTGTGTCATTTCCCTACGGTGCATAGTCACACCTTGACTTGGAGGTGTAGGGGAAAAATCATCACATTTGTTTTTGGCCCACAGGTTGACCTTCAAACTGTGCCACCTGTACTGGAACTGGCCTGGTACCATCCGAGTCCCAGCCCCTTGCAAGTATGCCCACAAGCTTGCATTCCTGTCAGGACAGGTCCTACATCATGAGCCGGCCATGCAGCTGTGTGAGAACCTGTTCTTCCTGTGATTGTGTGGCCTCGACCTAGGCTTCCAAAGAGAAATTGGACTTCTCACCTTAGCTGTGACTCTTAAGGAACCAGCAGACATGGAAGCGGAGGTTTTGTGTTGGTGTTTTCCCTTTCTCCTAGCCTTAGAGTAAAATTACTTTTTTCTTTTAAGCCTGATATCACCATTAAGCAGGCTTTTAAGTACCCCCTGGAAATTTCCTTGATGCCTTTGTAGAGCAAATAGCAGTAGTGCTACTAGTGTGAGATAGTGTGGTGACATCTGTGAAACACTGGAAGCCCTACAAGAGCAGGGAGCGTAGCTCAGTGGTGGATTGTACCCAGCATCTGCGGTGTCCTGAATTCAATCCCCAGCACCAAAAAGCAAAGAGAAAACAAAAGCCTCCAAGGCCAACATAAGCTGTAGAAACCTGCAGAAGCTGCAATTATACCTATAAGAGGTGTTTAAGAAGTGGTTCCCATTTGTGCTGCCAGAGGTGATAATGAATGAAGTCACTGCATGTTTCTTAAGCAGTTACTTTATTTTGGCACTGGGGAAGGTGAAAGAGAAGCCTGTGAAGCACTTTTTTAAGAGGTATTACTGTTGCTGCAGGTGTGAAAGGCATGTGCTAAAACCAAACATGGCATGGTCAGGCCTTTGTACCATAATCTTCCCTGGGAATAAAATTTACCATTCCTGTGATGTGAGCTGGGTGTCTCACAACTGCTCCTGGGCTTTCTTCTGAGAAAGCTCAGTTGAAGTTTTTCCTGTACTTTTCAGTTCCTTTACAAAATACCATGTTTTCTTGCTCCCCACCACGTACACACATGCACACACATCCTCCTTTGCTGTTTATGACTTATCTTCAGTAAATTTCAATTTTTTAAATAACAGAACAGTGGAAAGAATTCAGCAGCTAAGCAAGTTCAGGATGGAGTGTGAGTTTTTACTGACTCTTTCTCCTGGGTACCTGGCCTTCATTTCTGTGTGTGTCCGTTTGTAAGGGGGAGTACCCATTTCTCTTGCACAAGAGCTTCTTCCAGCTGTGGGCTCGCTTGGTCCAAGTTTTTCAGAATCCCAGTGAAAATGTTGAGAAGTCAATTTGGAAAATGGGTCACTTACTAATGTCCAGAAATTACAGTTTTGGAAGTTGTCACCCTGCCTGTGAGTTTCAGTGTTCGGTAGATGCTGTGGTTTTCTGTGTGTTTTCTCTCACTGTTTTAAACTCGTCCTGTTCTTTCAGCTCAATTCTGTCATTATCTTGCTTTACGAGGTTTTAAGACATAATTTTATCCTTAAAATTTGTATTTTTCTTACTACTGTAGTCATTTATTTATTTATTTACATGTTAGCATGATAGAAAGGAGAGGACAGGGCAGATATACCACTTTTACCCAACAGTGTGTGAGTAAAGCTCTTCAAAAGACCCAGGTGGATGTTGCAGCTCAATGGAAGAACACTGAACTAGCATGGCAACTCCTAGCACTGCCCAAGGAAGAAAAAAAAAAGACCAGCAGAGCTTTTAGTTCGTGGCATTGCCCCCGAGGCTGGGAAGGGATGAGCGCTGATGGTCGTCAAGTGCACGGCTAAAACCTGAAATTTAAATGCCACAGAATCAAGCACCCTGAGCTGTTGGTTTCTGGCTGAAAAGATCAGTTTCCTGATTTTCTTTGGAAGCATTTTGAATTTCTCTTTTGAAGTTGGATTTCCTAACATTATTCTTCTCTTAGATAATGAGTACAAATACTTGAATACAATACCAAAATATCTTCACTTTTTATCCTGATGTTCTGGCTTTGTTTTTCCATTGTAATCCAAATGATTGGCTCATGAGTAGGAAATAAAAACAGATTTGTATAAATGCACATTGTACTTGAAATAATATCATTTCTGTATTGTGTGGAAAATTTTTTTCCTTCAGATAGCTGCACACTTAGAATTATTCATTTATTATTCTGCATGCAAAGTATAGCATGAGTGCTAGCAGTTTCACTTCTGGACTAATGAGGCTCTCATTTTTTGTGTGTTACTATTTGTATTGATTTAGGTCTCGATCCCCATCTGTTTCTGTTGGCCCAAGAAAGTTAGAGAGCCTGCTTCCAAGTGTGGCCTCCTCATCCTTTATTAAGCTTCTATACACATACTCTGTGCTGGTGGTCCTTTGAAACAGTGTCCTCAAATTCCCCAGTTGCTCACTTCACCACCACACTCCTTTAAAACACTGTATGTAACCCTGTTTATTTAGAAAATTCATTTTCACATAATGCAGTGCTTCTTAAATCATTCTGGAAAGAACCTACTGGCTATACAGTATATTACAGGGCCCTTTATCACATGAGCAGTATTTTGTTAAATGATGTGCATAAGGAAGGAATTTTAGAAATGTCTAGCTCTTTATATTGAAAATCTTAAAAGTTTGGGGCCTGAAATTAAATTCTTTGAGATGTGGAATTATTGAAGAACAGCCTACAGTTCTGTTCTATTTTCTGTTTCTAGCTCTATGCCCCGTCTTATCAGAGTTTCTTAGGACCTTTTCTAGTCTGGATTTTCTTTGTCTTTCAAAAAAATAAGGAAAATCAAGAGATGGATTTGGAGGACAAACTTGGAAAACACATAGATAAAGTACTGTTACCCAAAATACACAACCCTTAAAAACATAGTAAGAGGATGGTGCTAAGCATGTGCTTACTGCACACAAGACCTGGGTTCAGTCTGCAGCCCAAACAATAAGGAAAACCTAAAAACACAAACTTAATAAGAAAACTAACTAAGAACTGTCCAGCAAACCTGAGCAGACACATCACAAAGAAGGTGTACAATAGCAAATGAGCATATGAGAAGCAGCTCAGTGTTGTGTGTCCTTGGGGAAATATACATGATAACAGTGAGTTAGTTTTGGCAGAGGCCAAAAGACCAGAATGCCAAATGCTGTTGAGGGTGTGGAGCAAAAAGCACTAATACTGCTTGTGGGAACACGAAATGGTTCAGCCATTTTGGAATACAGCTTGGCTGCTAATTAAACATGATCTGTGGTCAGAAGTGTGACTTGTGGTGGGAGCATATGTTTAGCATGTGGGAAGTCCTCAGCACCAGGACACGAACCTCACAGAAAGGTACCCAACAATTCAGCAGTTACTCCATGGCATTTACCCAAAGGAAGTGAAAACTTAACACAGAAACCTGAGCACAGATGTTTATAATAGCTTTACTCATAATTGCAAAACTTAGAAGCAACAAGATGTCCTTTAGTAGCTGAGTGGATAAGTAACCTGTCAAGCATCCACTCAGAGATTATTCAGTGCTACAAAGAAATGAGGTATGAAGTCATGAAAAGACATGGAGGAATTCGACATGCAAATTACTAAGTAAAAGAAGCCAGTCTGAAAAAGCTGTATAATGCATGACTCCAGCAAAAGACATTCTGGAGAAGGTGAAACTGGAGACTGTAAGGACCAAAGGCTGGGGAGATGGGGTTGAACAGGTAGATCAGAGAGGAATTTTAGGGCAGTGAAACTACCAACTATCATGCTGCAATATTAGATATGTGTCATGATATCAAAACCCACAGAATGTCCAACACCGAGAGTGACCCCACATACGAACTGTGGATGATAATGTGTCCAGTTAGCTTTATCAGTTGTCACAAACGGACCACCCTCGTGGGGATGTCAGTAGTAGGGAAGGCCAGGAGAATATGGGAAACTTCTATACCAGTGATTGTGAACCTTTTCAAGTCGAACGCCCAAACTGCAACCCACCAGTGGGGCCTGGTGGTGCTAACCTGTAATCCCAGCACTTGGGAGGCAGAGTCAGGAGGAATGACAGGAGTTCAAGCCCAGCTTGGACTACATAGTGCATTCAAGGCCAGCCTGCACTACATATCAAGAATCTGTCTTACAAAACAAACTTGCAACCCAAAATGCACTTACTTATCATGAAGTGCCAATACTGCAACTAAACCTGATTACTGAGGTTTTAGTTTAGAAAAAATCCACACATTAACATCTTTTGTTTTAAAAGAAAAACAATATACATGCCATAAGCTCACCACCACTGTTCTGTACATTCTGTTCAGTTTTGCTGGGGAACTAAAACTGCTCTTAAAAAGTGTGTTGTTTTAAACTGGGCATGTTGGCATACTCCTGTTGTCCTAGCCAAAAAAAAAAAGTATATATATAGTTTAAAGTGAGACTCGGGTTAGGTATATTGCTCAGAACAGCACCTGCCTGGCAAGCAAGAGGTCCTGTGTGTGTTCCTCAGAACAAAAAACAGAGAGAGACAGAGACTGTCTTGGCAACATGGTAGACAGCTGACCCTTCTGAAAAGTTTTGGCCATAATAGGTTTTTGGGGTGTTTGCTCAGGTTCTCAATATATTGTTCAGATTGTCTTGAAAGTCTAGGCTCAAGTGATCCTCCTGGCTCAGCCTTCTGAGTAGCTATGATTGCAGTTACACAAGACCAAAGTAGAATATGTAACTAAACTTGGGGGAAGAAACACCGAATAGAAAGAAGAGAAGGAGCAGGGGAAGAAAGAGGAAGGGTAATATCCAAGTACAAGAAAGAGAAGTCATAGAGAACGTAGTTGGTACCAACAGAGCTCTCAGAGTTAGGGACAAAATGCAGGTGCAAGGGAAGTGAGGCCTTTCATTCTAGGTAGGGACAAGAGATGTGGTCTCAGACCCTGTGAGGTACAGGATTGCTGGAGTTAAGTCTCCTGGATTCAGGAACCTACAAAGGTTTAGCTGGAACCTGGACAGGGAATAGAAATTTTTGCCAGCTGTCCTGGGTTAGCAGCAGGGAAGCTTGGTGGTTGACTTGTTTGAGGCAGTGTCTTGCTGCTGAGGGTGGTCTTGAACTTGCAGCAGTCCTCCCAAATTCTGGGATTATTCCTGATGGAAACTTGTTGTTTGAACAGGGATGTGATAGTGGATACATAAAAGGGCAATGATAAATCCCCAAGGTAGAGCCCACAGACAGGTGGATATAATCTGAATTTTTGTGATTGCTGTGCTGAAAGCTCAAACTGAAAAAACAATACATGATTGACCCAGATGGGTGTAGAAACCAAGGCAGCCAATTGGAGTGCAGCACAGAGAGGTAAAAATAGGACCCCTGGGAGAGAGTGAGAAGAGATAAAAAAAATGGGTAACGAGTCAAAGAGAAGTTCCTGTAGATTAAACTACAATGGGTGACAGTATGGCACATAGACAGTCAGCATCTCCTAGAATGAACGTCAAATATGAATTATCTAACTGGAGAAACTCATGGAGGGGAAAAACAATTCTGCTACTAGATGTACTATACTGAAGTTTAAGAAAACCACAGACAGAATCTTAAAACAACCAGAAGTGAAAAGAAATGATTTGGCTGGGTGTGGTGGTACATGCCAATAATCCCAGCACTTGGGAGGCTGAGGCAGGAGGATCACTGTCAGTTTGAGGCCAGGCTGCTACACAGTACAAGGCTAACCTGAAATAGCCTGAACTACATAGCAAGACCCTGTCTCCAAAAAGAAAGGGAAAAGGAAGGCCAAGCAGTCAGCTATTCATGAAGCACAATAGATATTTTAAGACCAAAGAAATAATAATTTTCTTACACACCTGTGATCCCAGCCCTTGGTGGGGTAGGGGCTGAAGCAAGAGGATTGCTGTGAGTTCAAGGTCAGCCTGGGCAACATAGTAAGTTAAAGGTGAGGACGAAAATGTTTTTATTTTTTTATTTTATGTGCTACTAGGATTGAACCCAAAGCCTTCATACTGAGCTATACTCCTACCTCCTTTTATTTTTTATTTTGTGATAGGCTCTTCCTAAATTGTCCAGGCTGGACCCAAACTCTCCTACCTTAGCTTCCCTACTGCTGGAATTACAGCCATGCACCACCATACTCATCGCTGATTTTTAGTTTAAAATATTATTATTTAGCCAGGCATAGTGGTGCATACCTATAATCCCAGTACTTTGGGAGACTGAGACAGAAGTATCTCAAATTTGAGACCAGCCTGGTCTACATAATGTGTTCAAGGCCAACCTGGACTACACAGAAATACAAAATATAAAGATCAAAAATACAAAATATAAAGATCAAAGCAGAAACTAAGGAACCCATCAACACAGACCACCCAGGAAGCTGTGCTCTTTTGAGTCCGCAGCCCCACCCTCCACGCAGTTATGCAGGGGTAGAATTCTGGCTTCCTTCAAAATGCTGTACTTTCTATTTGGCAGAGGTAGGTGTGGTCTCTGGTCAGAAGGGAAATGTCAGATTTTTGTGCCCAGTTCCCTTATATATTGCCCAGTATCAGACTTTTAGTGGGCTGGCCTGTTCATATTTATTCAGAATTGGTTATGTGCAAACTATTACCTTAGGGGATACAGCTTCATCTGGAAAACCCTTGTAATCAAGATTACAATCTTGTAATGAGATTAAGATCTAATAAGATTAGACACAGAAATGAAATACTTACAATATAAGTACTATATACCAAATTCATTCTGTAGATCACAACCAACAGTGGTCATGAGATCAATGTTGTGAGTTTGTCATTTGCCACTACTTTTTTTTTTTTTTTTTTTTTTTGTCTTTTTGAGACAGGGTCTCTATTCACTCTATGCAGTTTGGGCAGGCCTTGAGCTCATTTTGTAGCCCAGGCTGGTCTCAAACTCGCAACAATCCTCCTGACTCAGCCTCCCAAGTGCTGGGATTACAGGCATAAGCCACCATGTATGGCCTACTTTTTTTAAATTTCCTTTTTGTTACTGGGGATTCAACTTATGACCTCACACTTGCCAAGCAGGTGCTTGTGCCGCTGAGCTAAATCCCTGGCCCATTTGTCACTACTTTTAAAAATGGAATTATAAACTGTTAATGCATTGTGTAGATGTATACACTGGTATTAGGATTTCTTTTTTCTTTTCTTTTTTTTTTTTAGGTGCTGGGGATCAAACCCAGGGCCCCTCAAATGCTAAGAAAGCATTCTATCATTCTACCACTGGGATATACTCCCAGCTCCCATTTTGCAAAATTTGCTTACTATATATTACGTTTTACTGGCATTATAGTATTATCTATTACCACCACTACTACTATTATTTTCTTTGTCTTGGGGGGAGAGAGTCTCACTATGTAGTTCTCTCTGGCCTTGAAGTCACTATGTAACTCAGGCTGACCTCAAACTCTCAAATACGCAGCAGTCTTCCTGGCTCAGCTTCCAGAGTGCTAGGATTATGATACACATCATACAGATGTTTTTAAATGGGAGCCAGACATGGTGGTAATTACATGCTTGTAATTCCAGCACTCTGAGAGGCTGAAGCAGGAGGTCTGTAAATTTGAACTCAGCCTGGGCAATTTAGTGAGAGACCCTGTCTCAAAATAAGATAAGGGTTAATATGAAGGCCCTGGATTCTATCCCCAGTAACACACACACACACACACACACACACACACACACACACACTGGGAAGGGCATGGTAAGGGAAAGATGAGAGATTTGGGGCCCCAAACTAGTTCTGAGGGACAGAATTATCAGTGACAACAGAGAATTCAGCCAGGGTCCTCCTGAGGAACTTTGTGTGGGGTAGACATAGAGACTTACAGGCCTTTTGATTTTGAGCTATGTTAATAATTAATTGTATTCCTGCGCAGTTCCTCTCGGATTACCGATAGCTTATCAACTCTGGGTGCCCATGTGGACTTTGGCAGCTCCACATTTACTCTGGGTACAAACAAATGGGACTGCGTGGTAGGCCCCTTGGGGGATGGTGCCTCAGCCTTCCTACCTCCTGTGTCTGTCAGTACTTTGAGCAGTGTCTTTGACAGAAGCCAGAGCTCCTAAATGTGGTGTTGACAACTTGCCCAGAAAAACCAGGGGACCTCTCCTGGACTCCAGTTTTAGGGAGAGACCAATACTCCTCTGGATGTGTGCTTCACACTGTTGTGAACTGTGCGTGTTTGGAGCATTCTGTTTGACTTTGTCTCTGGGTGGGCTTCTTATTTCTTTTCCAGTACCCAAGCAAAAGCCTGATAGGAACTAACCTTTGCTAACAGCCCACTCCGCTTCGGATTAGAGTTCCACATGAATGACATAATGTCTGCAAAACGCCATGAGTTGAACCTAGAAAGGGTTATTACAGAAATGAAGGGGCTCTGGGGGGAAACTGTGCCAGAGATATCATTACCTCGGAATTACTTGGAAAATAAAGGAGAGGACTATCCGGCTCTCTGCGGGACCCACTGAAGCACTGTAATAGCAGGGTGAGGATAATTGGATTTCAGAAGAACCCAGGCGCAGCTAGTCTCTTCCAGAGGGATGGGAAAAATCTGGCCCAGCTTCGGTGCATTCTCCCCCTCTCTCCCAGTTCTGGAAGCAAGAGAGCTTTCTTGCCACCTGCTCCGGGACAGTCCGCTTTCCTTTCCCCTTTAGCCCCGCCTTCATGGGTGTGTTCACCCCCAGAGTCGCTTAGAGTGCGTTGTTGTCTCCCTTCTCCGTGCAGATTCAGCGACTCCCAGCTGTGCACGGGCCCTAACTGACTGCAGTTTAGCTGGAAAACCCCTCCCCTCGATCTCCCAGCCCCGGGTGGCAGCTGCTTTAGCTGTAGAGGAAATAATCTTAACATTCGGCAGGACACAACAATGGGGATTTGTTAGGTAGTTTATTTTCTCAAGCAATTTGCATTTCCGAGGCCTGATATCCATAACAACAGACCCATTCCTCACCGGAAGAGACTCCCAGGTCTTTCTCGCTCCCGGAGCACGTGTTTGGGTTCACAGACGCGGCTCCCTAGGAGTCTCTTCGGGGGACGTGAAGTGAAATCTAGTTTGAAAAGTGAATATAACATGGTTCACTTGGAATTGGAACAGGACATTTTTGTTCTTTTGGTTGATGGAAACAGCCTAGGTGGCTGCCCTTCTTACAGCACATTTCAGTGTCGGGAGGGAAACGTTTACGAGTGAATACACGCGTATCAGCCGCGGCGCACCCTCCAGCAGCGCGCTTGGAGTGGCAGCGCCTCCCACATAGGAGGAGGAGGTGTGAGGGGAGGTTGCCAGAGAGAGAAGAGCCTGCGCGGCCTCGACGACCCTGAGAAGAAAGGCGAGCACAGGATGGGGAAGCCAAGCGAGCTGAGCTCGCACCGGCGATGCCACCCCGGAGCCGGAGGGCGCGGGCACCGGGGCTTGCAGGCCGCCCCACGTGGCAGGCCCGGGGGAGCGCGGGGCGGGGTGGGGGCGGGCCCTGCGCTGACGCGCCGGGTATATAGCGGGCATGCGCGCGGCGGCGAGGGCCGGACGCTGCGAGGGAGGGGGCGCGCGGTGGTGTGCGTGGACGCGCTGAAGCAGCGGCCCAGGCCTGGTAGAAGAGGCTGCGCGGCAGCTGACGGCTGCAGGTGAGCGCGGGGCGCCGAGCGCGTGCGCAGGGAGAGCGGCCGGGAGCCGGTTCCACGATGGCGAGGGGAGGGGGGTCACCGCACGGTCCGTTTGGCCGCAGAGCGCGGGATGTGGGAACGGGAGAAGGGCACCCAGGACGTCAGTAAGCTTTGCGGAGAGGCTGAGACAGGCTTCGTGGAGCTGAGGGCCCGGAGCGCCCGGGCGCAGGAAAGTAGAGTGGATGGGTAAATCTGACGTGCTGCCTAGCGGCTCCGATGAGGCTTGTTGTCTGGACTTTGCTTTCCAGGAACTGTATACCCTCACTCGCGTCAGGCCACCCCTCAGCTGAAGATCAGTGCCCCCGATCTTTCAGCGGGGCAGGAGCTGGAGCCGTGGACCACATAGGAGGACGGAGCTAAACTCTCACCTGGCGTACAGCAAACAAGACTTTTGGGCTATTTTTGGTCAGTCCTGACCAAGTTGGGTAGTCAGGTTCAGTCTGCCCCCTCTTGGTGTTTTAGTAAGGCTACGGGACAGAATACCATTCCAACAGTTTCACCTTGCGATCCGGAGGGCCGATTAACCAGGGAATTTTCTTCTGCTATGGGTTGTGGGTTCTGTTTTACAGCTCGAGCATTTGCCAGGCCCTATGTTCCGCAAATGGTTAAATAGCTTGCGTGGCCAAGAGGACTCTGAACGTGAACCGGTGAGGGCCTGAGTGCTCTCCCATAGCTTCAACGGAAAGGTGGGGTCATTCTCCCCAGTAGCCTGGATCTGAATTTGTGACTTTAGTCCTGTTCCCAAGGTACTCTCACCCACCATTTGGGTAGGTGGAGCCTGCTAGGGGGTGGTGATGCTAGCCAGTGGTGAGGACCCATCTGGCTGAGGCTATCCTGGCCTCTGTTCTGGCTGTATTCCTAACTTCCTCTGCGACTTTGGAAAGGGCTCAGATCAGTTCTAAGGTCAGATGATCCCTTGGGCATAGTCTGTACAATTCTGTAATGTTTACCTTTAAAACTAGAAACTGAGGACAAGAGAAGGAATGTCTGGAATCACAACTTTTAGCAGCTAGAATTAGAAGCTGCTCCCTTCTGTTGGAGACCCAGGTGTGTTTCTCATCACTACTACAGTAGTGGTACTCTTCCTGCACTTTGTAGGTGTGACCAGGGCCATAGTGGACCTGGAGACCCTGGATATTGTTTCTTCTTCCTGAAGCATTAGGCCAGAAGGCTTCTTCCTAATTAATCTGGCTTTTGTTACTTACCTGGCCCCTGGGTGAGTAAAGGGCAGAAGGAGGAGATGAGCCAGCTGTTGGCTGAGAAACCCAGTAACCTAGGGGGAGGGAGTGGCCACTTTATTGATTTTGCCCCCCCCCCCCCCGCCGTTTTTTTTGGTGGTGGTACTGGGAATTGAACTCAGGGCATTTGCACTTACTTATTTATTTTTGAAATTGCAACTTGCTAAATTGGGCTCGAACTTAGGGCCCTCCTCCCTCAGCCTTTCAGAGTGCTGGGAGATGTGTGCCACTGTATCAGAGCTGGCCTTGTTCTTAGGAGAATTGTGGACTCCTTGAGATCCCAGCACTACGTGACTCTGAGCACAAATCCAAGCCCAATGTTGTCCTAGGGAGAAGAGCCAACCTGGATGCACAGGAGCTGGTCTGTGTTCTGGGGGCTGCTGGGCGGGTTATGGGCAGAAGCCCCGACTCCTGCTGTTGCAGACTCCTTGGGCAGAAAGAAGGGCACAGATGAGGAGTAAAGTAGCAAGCAGCACAAGGGAGGTCTCTTTGCTGGTTGCAGGTAGGTTCAGAGGAGAGCATTGTACTTCAGAGTGGGGGCGGGGCAGGAGCAGGGCTTTTGAGCCAGATAGGCCTGTGTTCAAATCACCCCTGGTCACTCTCCAGCATGGAGAAGCTGCCTAACCTTTGTGGGTCTGTTCTCAGCGCCCTGTGTGGTAGAGGCCTGGTCTTCATCTTTCTGGAACGGAGTGGTGATTTAGGGATCCCAGAAGCAGACTCAGCCAGCTGGGTTATAGGGCTGGTGTGAGTCTAGACACAGGGCAGGTTCCTCTCCTCTCTTCCAATTGTGGATGCCAGTTCTCTACTCTCTCCCATGGCCTGTGGGGCGTATCCCTGAGACTCCTTGACCAATCCTTGACCAAGCTTAGGAAAAAGAGATGCTCTTCCACTTTAGTTCTGAAAACCACTTTGAGTTCTTCAGGGAATAAATATTCTATCTCTGGGCTGAGGATATCTTTTTTTTTTTTTTTTTTGGTCTTTTTCATTTTTATCGGTACCAGGGATCAAACTCACGACTGCCTGCTTGCAAGGCAGGCGCTTATGCCCCTGAACTAAATCCCCAGCCCCCCCGAGGATGTCTTAACAAAGACTCCCAGTGCTTGTGTTGTGCTTGAGTGTGCATGTCTGCACATCTCTGTGTGTGTGTACACTACGTGTCATTCATAGGACTTCTGTTTTCAACACGTCCCACCTCTTTCCTTACCTGCCCACACTCCTTGCCAGTCCAGGAGAATTTCAGCATTGACAGAATCTTGGGAGCTAAGCAGCAGCCCTGTGAGTAGACTGTGGATGTTGGGAAGACGGACTACCTCATGTGCCAGAGTAATTTGCCAGTCTGTACTTGATTCCGAGAGAAAGTCGTGTCTAGCCGTTTTGCAGGACCACACACTGGTAGCATGTTGTCTGGAGGGACTTTGCATTAAAACAAGACACTTGACTGGACATGTTGTATACCTGTGATCCTCCCTGTTCAGGAAGCTGAGGCAGGAGGATTACAGTTTGAGGAGGCCCCCCAAGTTGCAATGCTTGCCTGTGGCCAAGGGACTTGATGAGGAAGACCTTGCAGACTACTGCAGTGCAGTGTGCTCCTTGGAACACCGAAGAGGAGGCAGTCAGTCACTTGTCCCTGTGCATATGAGACACAGGGTAGATGGACAGATGTCCCTCTGTTCGGGGGTTACTTCTGAGGGCATCTGCTCCTTTCTCTGTGCAGATGCCCCAAAGATAGGAGAGGGTGCAGAGTGAGTGAAGAGAGGGCCTCCACCCCCAGATGTCGGCAAGGTCACCCTCTGACCTGGGGCTGGATGCCAGGAGATAAGGAGTCCAGAGTCTGCTAGCTGGAGACTGCTGCCAGCCGGGCTTCGTGCCTGTCCTGGGGTGAGGGCTGCAAGGCTACCCCACTGCTATCAGCCCCAGATGGGCTCTTGTTGGGCCCAGGCGATACTGGGATGAGTAGCTTCCTGCTGGGCCCTGCAACCTGCATCAGGCCAGGAGCTCGGGAACCAGGGAGCTTGGGAGCCCTGCCTGCCCAGTGCTGGGAAACTCAGGTCCCTCCCTTGGCAACTGGAGATCTGACTGTTCTTCGCAGCCTCCGAACCTGAACCTGCAGCACATCAGCAGTGCAGTAGAGGGAGGGGTTGGGCCGGGGAGAAAGGACACCCCAAGTTTATTACTGCAGAGACCTGTAGTCAGCATACTCATTATTAGTAGTTAATTTTTAAAAATCCATTAAAAGTTGGGAATTTAAAAGAAAAATCATTTTAAGTCATTTAAGAGGTACATTTTTTATAGTTTTATTTACCCAGACTTTTTTTTGCAGTGCTGGGGATCAAACCTGAGTCCTCAGGCATGCTAAGCAAGTGCCACTAGGCAACTATACCCCAGCTCTTTTTTTTTGTACTGGGGATCGAACTCACGATATTGCACTTGCCAGGCAGGCACTTATGCCGTCCCTCGCTCTTTTACCAGGTCATTTAGTTTTGGGCTGAAGCCTTTTTCTCTGAGTCCCCAGGTCCTCTAATTAGACTTTTAAAATTGTGTATAAAAATCGTACCTATCTGAATCATCCGTGATTCCCAGGTTTCTTTACTTTGTTGAACATTTTCACCAGGCTCTATAGTTACATAGTTAAAAAAAAAAACAATCAGAACTGGCTCGCTTGTTTTTGTGTCCCCCCCCCCCCCCGCTTTTTGGACAGGGTCTCAGAATGCAGTTCAGGCTGACCCAGTTGGCCTCCAACTCATGGCAATCCTCCTGCCTCAGTCTCCTGAGTGCTGGAATTACAGGCCTGTGCCACCACACCTGGCTAGAGGAAATTCTGTGAAGTGAAATTGCTGAGTGAAAGGTCAAATACATCAAGTTTAATTGACTTTCATTTTTTAAAAAATTACATATCACTTTTTTAAAAGGGTTTTTGAGACAGGGTCTTGTTCTATAGTTCAGGCTGCCCTTGAACTCACTATGTAACTCAGGCTGGCCTTAAACTTTTGGCAGCCCTTCTGCCTCAGCCTCCCAGTGCTGGAAATACAGGCCTGTGCCACCACACCTAATCTAAAAAAAAGAATTTAATTTTGCAGACCACATTTAGAATCCTATGCATGTCTCTGAGCATACCACCTTGAACATGCCCAATCTAATCTGATTTTGGAAGCAAGAGACCTACATATGCGTAATTGAATTGCAGTTCTTTTTTTCTTATGTCTTTCTAATTTAGTCATTCTCATGCTTTTTCACACTAAGGCCCTTTAATACTATCATTTGTTTTTATGGCTAAATCTGTTGATATTTGCTCTGTCAAAACATCAAACTGAGAAATTTTTAACAAGTGATTTATTCACATAAACTACAAAAACAAGGCCATTATACATTAATGTATAAAATATTTTAACTCAGTGAGTTGTACACACCTGTAATCTCAGTGCTTGAGAGGCTGAGGCAGAAGAATCACTGCAAGTGTGAGGCCAACCTGTGGCTACATAGTGAGTTCAGGGCCAACCTAAACTGTAGTGAGACCCTGCCTCAAAACAACAACAAAGCCCACTCCCCTAAAATCAGACTCACCAAATTCAAAGACCCAGTTAAAAAATGGGCATCTGAGATGACTATACACTTCTCAGATGAAGAAATACAAATGGCAGATAAATATATGAAAAAATGTTCAACATTGCTAGTCATTCAAGAGATGCACATTAAAACAACACTAAGATTCCATCTCACCTGAGA